TTTGTTTGTTTGTTTGTTTTTACATTTTTCATTCCAAATAGCTTCTAAGGCTAGAAGGCTACAAAAACATTCTGAGGTGCTGTGAGATGGCATAAGCATGCACATCAGTAGAGCTACAGCTTCTTCCAGTTACCAACAACATCCATCATGACAAACACTAATGACAAAGGGGAGAAGAAGAAAAGAGTATCTCAAGAGTTTGCTTTTTGGTAAGCAGCAAGAACTGCACTTACAGAGGTAAAAAGACATTCATTAATGTTATGAATGCTCAAGCATTCCAGGTCAACTCCCTTTTCCAGTGTTAACACAGCTACCATTTCCAAACCTGGTCTCTCACCAGCTGATCCCAGCTCTCTACATGACCAAGCTTCCTAGCTTGGTGACCTGCCCTTGGCAAGCTTTGGTGGACCCCAGCATCAGTCACAGAACCACCTGCACCAAATGAACTGCAAAGAGCATGGAAATCCCATGGCCAAGGAAGCCATGGGGGGAAGTTTGTCACTGAAATCAGCTGTGGAACACAATAGGCTGAAGGAGGAAAGGATTTATGAGGGGCAGAAAGGAAGGTATTTTATGCTTCACACTTTACAAGTGTTTGAAAGGCATCAGATAGTATAGTATGTCCACATTCTCAATATTTATATATGTTTTTAAAAGATGTTATTGCCACAAAGGTATTAAACAAGACAAAGCAGATCACTTACAATAGGTAATTTGCCCTATTGTAATTTTGCCCTCCCCACACATGGATTCTCTCCCTGTAAAGGGATGCCAAGAGTAATTCACAATAAACAGGCTCAGTTCCTCCATTTCCTGGTAAAGAGAGAAAAGGAAGCAAAGGTCTACTGCTTTTGACTGAGTAACAGAGAGAATAGGACACTGACAGGGAAAGTGAAACTGTATCAACAGTGATCAGAAGTAGAGCTAACTCAACTTGTTTTTTGAATTATTATATTGTAAACAAAAACCCACTGAGATTGGGAAATAGAAGGAAATTTCCTTCTGCAACTAAGAGGAATTGATAATCCTAACAGACATCCCAGGTTCTGGTCCAAATAAAACAACAGGAGAAGACAAAACCTTAATTGTAAAGTGCAGGGCAGGTTAAGGCAAATGGATTAGATGGCATTACAGCTGCTCTAGAGCTCTGCTCTGAATGGAGCATCTGTAAAAAAGACACGATGATGCTGTAAAACCAGATTAGGGATTCAGAGGTTTCTAGCAGGACAGCCTGGATGGATATGAGGCTGCAGCAAAAACAAATTCTGTGTGCTGGATTCCTCTGCTCCTCATTTTCCCATGTACTCAGTACTGAGGGCTGGGTCACTCGTGGTTTCCTTTCTGGATAAAAAGAGGTTTTGTCAGCAAGAAAAGTAATTTATGCCTGCAAAGCTGCTTTCTCCTATTGCAGAAAATCTACTGCAGCATTTTTAATTCACAAAAGTGACAGATTAGCAGCTCTTCCAGAAGCCAGATGTAATTTTGCTGCATAGAGTAGAGCCTTTACCTCATGACTTTGTCAGTGCCATTTATTCACCATTTGAAATTCTCCTGTATTTGTTTTCTCCGCACCAATGGCTGCTAGGCCATCTAGGCAAGACTTTGTGACCAAATTTCAGACAAGAACTGGTATTGGGATGGACCGAAAATTTCTTGTAGGTTCTTAACAAGAAGTAAAATATCTACCTGCCTCAGCATAGGAGAAAGCCCAAGAGGAGATACTACCTGCTTCTAAGACATTTATGTCTCCCTCAACATGCCAGCCAGGCATTACTACTCCTCCTCTCATGCTACCCCCTCACCAGCTAATGGGGAGAAATCTGGCTCCCCTTTTATAAAAAGTGGGGGAACAGAAAGGAATAAAAGAAAATGTAAGATTACAAGAAAAAAAAACAAAACACTAGGAAGTAGGACACTAATGCAGAAATCAGAGTACAGAGAAATACAATACTTCAGTTTAAAAAAGGGGGTGAGATCAAGAAGATTGGAGGATTAGAGGTAGGATTCTGGAAGTACATTGACCCTCTTCCTCACTGCCCCAGATGCTTAAACACAAGGGAGAGGGATGAACTGGCACTGAGAAGCTACATTACCCCTCCCTTCTCTGCATAGCACAGCTCTGTTTTCCCTCCTACACTTGTTCCTGGTCTGGCTCCCTTTTTAAAAGCCATTGAATAATCATATTGGAAGTGATGAAGTGAGAACTCCAGACTTTCAACATCAGCAAATATTTCTTCAGATCTGTTTGATTCTGGAAAGTTCCCATTCATATATATTTACTTAGGGTGTTCTTTTCTTCCAAACAGCTCCAGATTTCAGAACAAGAAGTAGTGCATGGTGTGTAAGGACAGCATATGTTAGGAGACTGCTTGTTTCAGTTGCACTTCTGGAAGCATCCAACAGAGACTTCTCTTTTCTTTATATATATTTTTTTCCTTTTTTTTTTTTTTTTTACTCTAACATACTGGTATATTCTAACATCCAGTAATTTGTGGCAGATCTTTTAATCTGCTTCATGCAGGCAGTCTCTACACTCAGTAGTTTACAACTGTGCTTTCATACAGAACTGAGAAACACTTTGCACAGCCTCTATTACAATAATCCTATGTATTTTCCCTATGTATTAAGAAACATTTCTTCACTAAAAGGCCTTGGAATCAAGCATTGGAATAGGTTGCCCAGGGCAGTGTCTAAGTCACCATCCTTGGAGGTATTTAAGAGACATGTGGGACTTAGGGATAAGGTTCAAGGTAGTGCTTGGTTAATGCACTCAATGACCTTAACAGTCTTCTCCAACCTAAAAGATAGGATGATTCTAAGCACTATCTGGCTGTGTCCCATAGCTGCATGTCTGATCTAGATTAGAAATAAGGAGCTTTAAACACCTATTGATATTAATTTTAAGAGGAGAAGGTTGTACTGATGCCACAGTAGCAAGTTCCTTCATAAATCATAGAATCATATAATCATGCTTCTATAGACAGGACCTCCAGTACACATGAAACTGTCCTGTCCTGGAGGTGGAACTGTGATCCTATCGTGGCCAGAACAGTCCTTGAGAAGGCCTGAGAAGAGGAAGCAGCATATACCTTAACACCTTCACAAAATTTACTGCTGGGCACCCTCTGACAGAGATAATCCATGTCTACAGTAATTCTGACCCAGAGCTACCTGTGGGGAGCTAGTGCTCATTCAGAGAACATTCCTTTAGTCAGTGATATTTAAAAGCAGTTTTGATTGTTTTCTACAGAAATTAAGTTTGTGCAGTAAAGCTGTGTGTACACAGCTCCACACAGCTCTCAAACATGCTGAACAGCTTCATCCAGATTTGGGAAGTGGCAGTGGTCTCCGAGATAACTACATGTGCAGGGGTCTCACACAGAGGCAAACCCTGCCAGTGCCTCCTGCAGCAGGATTCCAGCCCCATTAGACACTGGAGGTGACAGGTCATGGAGGTTGCAGACAAGGAGAGAATTTCTGCCAAATTTTACACCCTTTCAAACATCATAAGCTATTTTGACAAAAAAAAAAAAAACAACAAAACAACTTCTAAAATAATTCAGATGTCACTTATCCCATTGTCCATGATACTGCTTGTTTTCCCTAGGCAAAATGAGATCCAAATGCTATGGATTGTGAACTTTTCTAACACATAGAAATGTATACACAGACAGACACATATATAGATAGACACAAACCAAACAAATAAGCATCCAGTTTGCCATCTCCCTTAAGCCACCTGTTTTCCAGCAAGTTGCTTTGCACTATCGTCTTGTGAGTTACGCTGACCTTTAATTTGGAAGCTTTGATCATAAATTTTTGCTCTTAGACAGATGCTGAAAATAGGTATCTTCAAATTTGCATTGTTTGTTAGTTTCTTTTCTGTAAAAAGCACAGTTTTAAATACATATTGCTGCACCTCACAGTTCCTTAGCGAGAAGTTTCTCCCTTTCAAAAGGTTCCAAATAAATTATCATACTTTTCATGTAATGTGGGACTCCTGCTCTCTGCTGGACACAGGTTCACAGACTTCAAAGGACCAAGATCATGAACTAACAGAAAAGCAGCCCAGGCCTGACTTTTCAATAAAAGCTGAAAAATTAAGGACTTGGGCCAAAATCTGAGCTTAAAGATTCAGGCCTAGATGTAATTTTCAACTAAAATGACAACTGAGAAACAGTCAGCCAGCTGTCAAATGAAAATCAATTGATTTTACTGCTTGGTTCATGATTTCCCTTCAATACAGAGAAGTTGCTACATCTCATTCCAGACTTCATAGGTTATTTCTGTATGTGGCAGCATATTTGCAAATTCCATTACTAATTCTTCTGAAGTTTCAATAAACACACCTACCTTTTTTGTGTAGAACTGATTTTCTTTGCATTTCATAGTAGATGGAAAACAACAACTGACTTAAACAAGAGCCTATTTCAAGCAAACTAATATCAAGATATTGTCCATTAATGGAACCCTGGTGAATCATAAAGGCAGAAGCAGAGGCCTGCATTACTTATCTACAGAAATAGGAGATATGATTGAACTAAGACAGAAAGAGATACAGTGTTATCATATAGACTATGCTCACAAGACAAATGGGAATTGAAGGAAAGCAACTATCACACATTGGTGTCCCTGATGTACTTTTATCAAAGATTTTTCATGTGGCCAGACAAGAGCAGATATCCATCTAATCAAATAGACTAGCACAACTTCACTTTTGGTATGCTTATTCCCAGCTTCTGCTCCCTCTTTCACTCCTTCTGACCACAGAAGGAATTTATTTGAATTTATTATTCATACTTTGTGTTCCCAAATTACTTTAGGTATGAACCCAAGAGAAGAGGCCAATATATATTAGATGTGATTTTGGATGGAGGAGAATTGAATCAAGTTTCTAGATGCCTTACTTGAAATAACGCCTCACAAAAACCTAACAGGAGCCATGGACTCTGAATGTCCTGGTTTGTGTGTCTTTGAAGAAAAGACTGGATTTTAAAAAGCAGGGGAATCTGGTCAGTGACTCAGACTCTTTCACTAGCTACAAAATAATATGCCACTCTTCTATCTCCAAATCAGAAAAACAACTGAAAGTCAGAATTACTCAATCCCATTAATGGCACTCTGAACAATCAGTTACTGCTCATGTTCTTTGCACACAGTACTTTTGTAATCACTACCTCCTCTTCTGGCAATTTTGTACAAGTTTTATTTTCTGAAGTGGGGAATTGCCAGGGAGTTACTCTGTAAATATTATTTCTGGAAGTGATAGATCACTTGTGCACACGGTGATTTACAAATTCATAATTAACACCTCGTTACCTCCTCAGGTATATATTGGCATGTCCATCTACAACTGGAGCCAAAAAAATTCAGCTGCTAAATCATTCAGCTTAGCACTGTTCTTTCAGTGAACGTTCTGCTAAATAAATGCATTTAAGTAGTGGTAGCTATGAGTTTCTTCAACAAGCCAAGGTTGAAAATGAAAACATATACCACATAAAACCAGCTCTGGTGTTATCAAAGACTTATTCATTTTACCTGAATACATAGTTGATGTACTGTTGGTCCAGATCACTGGGAGAGGAGGCAAAGAAAAAAGGTGTTTTTTTAGCAATGCATTTCATTTGGTGTAGCAGATCAGTATATTAAACATAATATACAGTAATGCTGTAATATTGCATTATATTAATGTATATAATATATAACAAGGTTAATATTAGGTAATACTAACATTATATTATAATTATATGCTTTATAAAGGTAACATAGTAATAATTTTATCAAGATCAATCAATTAATTATCAATTAACCAACATATTAATTTATACATGATCCACACATTTCTGTTATTACTGTCAGTAGGAATTTCATTTCCAGAGATGGAAAATAGTTTTGAAATAAATAAGCTTATCCATGCATGTATATTATACATCACATGTAGTGGCAACATACCCATCTCCATCCATAAAGAAAGCAGATTACAGACACTGTGAACATGCAATGCCACCTGATTCCAAGACTTCTATTATGTGGTTGCAGTTCTAACATGCACATGGGATTAGTGCAAGGTTCCAAGGTGTTTAGGGTAATCAGCCATTCCCATCCTGTGGTAAGCCACCAGCTGCTGAACACTTTTGAGACTGTCACAAAGGCAGATACTGACAGATTCAAACCATGTAGCTTTCCACATGAACACAGATTCATATTTCCTCGTAACACCTGTGCCAGTAATTAGGGGTTCTTTTTCCAAGGCTGAGTCATTACCCTTGGATAATACATTGTTTAAAACTAATTCAATGTTCCAGTTTGCAGTATAACTATCAATAACCACATGCTGTTACTACCAACAATAAATAAGGCTCATCTTGCAAGAGAAGTCATTAATGATTAACCAGGAGTGGCCCAGCTCCTGCTGATCATGCAGACCTCCCTACATCACAGTCATCTCTCTTTATGAAAGAATAAGAAAACACATTACCTTAAAGATCCAGGTTTCCACAACTTGTGAAATACTTTGTAAGCCCCTGTAATTGAAATGACATGTCTAATTGCCGTATCATGAGATTGTTCTGACAAACAACAGCTTGTTTGGCTGTGGTACTGGCAGACATGGAACCCCTCTGAATTACAGTTTAGCACCACAGCACAAAGGATTCCTAAACCATGAGTAAAATGAACCTATTGCTTCAAATTAATGGTTTTCAAAGTGTTATCAGCTCTGAGCACAGTCACGCTTTGTAGTTCTGCTAGTCCTTCTGAGGATGAGACATCTACTAGCTCACAACAACAACAAAGGAGAGATTGTGTGTTTGTGCATGGTTTTGTGTGTAAATACATACAGAAAAGTCACAGAATGGGTTCTTCAGCCCACACCATTTTGGGGGTAAGTTCTATCATATATATGATCATCTATGATATCATAGAGCTGTCTGGTCTGAGCCATCTTTCCTATTTAAAGTTCTCTCAGATTTAGTGTCTCCAAGTTCTTTACATTCTCAACCTACCATCTACCTCCTGTTAGCTTCCATTTCTGTCCTGGGTAAAGATCTGAGCACTTATGTAAGAAATTACACAGCTTCAGGCTCTGTTTTTTCAGATCCTTTCTTCCAGGCTTTGGGGTATTTTTTTGATTCATAGAGAAAACCAGAATATGAAATGTCAATCCAGTAGAACACTATGAAATAGATATACTCAATTCTGCCTCCATTACACAAGTTGAAGGGTAACCACACATCCCCTCTGTAATGCTCTGTCTTTCTTGATTTACTATTAAGTTAGTTCATCTATTTGCCCTCTCTCGTAGCACCTTCATTCCAGTTGATAGGAAATCTAATTACACAAATAACTCCCAATAGCGATATCAACTCTCAAAACCAAGAGAAATGGAAGGCAGCTATATTTTGAAAATAAACATTCTGTTAGCACTTCCTGCACATTTCAAACACACAAATGAAGCATTCTGAAGACTCTCTAAGCAATTTTCCACCTCCATGACCAGGTATTGCTTTACAAATGAGACTCCTTGGCTTTGAGAAAGCAAGAACATCACTCATCACAGCAAAAAAAGTATTTAAAGTGGAAAATCCATAGCTTTTACTTTTATATAAATGAACAAATGTTTACCATATGATATTTCTCAAAAAACCACCAAAGCTATTTCTTATTTGTATGTTAACAACATTTCAGATGGGGATCTCTAGACCTTCCTAGACAGGAATACATACAAACATATTACCTCTGCTCAGAAAGAAGGAATATCCTTAATCTGCAGACAAGACTTAACATATGAATGAGTCACTCACTCAGTATATAGAACAGATAAGAATCAAATACAAGTCCCTTATTATCCACCAAAATATTCCAAAAACCTCCTATTACTGCTCTTGTTTTCTTCAGGTTTTCTAGTCTGACTGTTTCTAAATTTTCAGGGAACAACTACTATTTATCCAAATCAATGCTTGGTCTCAAAAAAAAAAAAAAAAAAAAAAAAAAAAAATGGACAAAAAAAAAAAAAAAAAAAGGAAAAAAAAAAAAGACAAAAGAAAACCTGATAGGTTATGAAACTCATTGGTTTTTTTTGTTTTTTTTTTAATGCATATAATTGCCTGAAAAAAAACTCCAACATTTCAACATCCCTCCTCTGGGACCATAGTCCATGATATTTTTGTATATTTTTGACAGTTTTTAAATAAAATCTGTGTGTGCAACAAAGTTGCAAGTATAAGCTATTGCTTTTTTTTTCATGTTCCTTCTCCCCTCAGAAAGAAGTCTCTCTCAGTAGGCAATCATCAAAAAACAACCAGAAAAGCTTAGTGCTGATTAAAATTGGATGTGCATTTTCTCATCCACAGTTAACAGACTGCAATATGCAGTGTGTTCTATTGTTGTTTTCAACATAAAAGCTATAAAAAGAACGCACTTTCTTATATTTACTGATCTCCATTCTTTCCAAGTGTTTCTAACATATAGAGTCTCAGATATCAGTAACTTCATAATAAAGCTGGTTTCTCCAACACATTTACTCTTCCTAATTCTTTTTCTAGAAGAAAATTACTTACCAACACAGATCAAGTGAATTAGAGCCCATAAATACCCATTTGGATCAAACTGAAATAAAGAACATCTACATAAATAAAAGCATGAACATGCAAACATACATATTGCAATTCCCCTGCAGTTAGCTTTGCAAAGCAAGTAGAGCGTGCAGGAGCTGTGCTACAAAGAAAGGGAAGATGACTAAAGAAGACTAGGAAGACTGAAATTCTTCCTGTCACACTCAGAAACCTAGCATATGCCAATTATGCAGGCTCTCAGCTGGTCTCAGCAAGGATAATTCTATTTCAGATGTGTACACCAATTTCCAGACTCATCTGACTTCAGATATTAACTGAGGTATCTAAAGCAAGGAAGCAGCTTTCCTAGGTCTCCAAAAGAGACTCTCCCATGATTGGATCTTTTGTGAATGGAGCATTCTCTGGAGGCACCTCCTTTCTTTCTCAGGTAGCTACAGAAAGCATGTACAGAGAATGCAAAACTAATTTAGGAAATTCCTGAAAGTACACACGGATAATTCAAAACTAAGTGATTTGCTGTAAGCACTATTACAAAGTAAAACTGTGGTTTTCCCACCTGCCACCTTCACCAAAGAGGTGTAGGTCCACACTGCTCAGAGGTTTTACTATGATGCAAACACAGTAAACCCAGCAAGACTACAAGACAGCAACAGGAAACATTTACAATTCCCTTGCAGGAATCCTACTCAAGCTTACCAGTAAAAGCTGCATCCCTCATATTCTAACAAGGTGTCAAGCATCAAGGCCTAGCTCAAGCTGCTTTACAAAGCAGATCTCACCTGTGTGTCACACAAAGGAAGGCACACTGCTGCTGCCAGGAGGAACAGCACACTGGGGAGAAGAGAAAGAAAAAAAAAGGTAAGAGCAAAAGCTTTCAACCTGGATTTCTACTCCCAGCAAAGCAGAGACAATTCCACTCCATTTTACACTGACACTTGTTTAATTTTCTTATTCTAGGTTTTAAAAATAATTTCTGCCACCAATATTTTTACATAATGCATTCTTCATAACTTGTACACAGTAAAGTTTTATGGGAAGCGAAGCAGCACAAAACACCTCAGAAGTGATAAAAAAAAGATTTTTTTGGTAGAGAGTATTTTTCTTCACTAGCCATCTGTCTTCCCTAGGGTTTTTCAAAAAGCCAAAATCAGCCAATTTCTGGATGAATGGCTACCAAAAAGTTATTTCATTGAGACTAATTGGCTGTTACAGCAATTCCAGCAGATGTGACTCCATTACAAGTGACATTTTTACTCCAGAGCACAGAGCAAGGTGGTGGAATTGACTGGTATACATTGGAAATGTCTTAAGGACAGTACAAGTCCTCTCCTAGTCCACCAACTTAAGCTAAATAAATTCTTAACCTGTGGCTGAGTCAGTATTTCTTTAAGCTACAGTGAATACACTGTGGAATTTCTGTGGACTGTCACTATTAATATTAACATACACATGCTTTTGCAGCTTATTTTCCTACTCTCTAAGGGCATGGGAAAAGACAGAATAAAGATTATTTTTAAAATTGTATCCTTGAGAATAATCCAGTGGTGAAGACAAGGCCACATAGTCAGATAATGGAAGCAACAGGAAGAAATTAGGAAGATAATGCCTCTAAGTACACTAAATAATAACCCAACCTTATCCATTCTAAAGTACAGCTAAAATATTACAGGATGTGGAAGACAGCAAATATCCATTCTTCAAGGGGATGTGAGGGCATAGAATCAAAATTTTAACACGACTGGTTGATTTCTGTTTGTCCTTTTCCATCTCCTTTTTGAAGCCTAAACAACCAGGGCCACCAAGGGTTGGTAGTTGTGCAGCTTAATATCACAGAATAACAGAATCATCAAGGTTGGAAGAGATCTTCAAGATAATCTGTCCAGCTGTCAACCCAGTGCCACCATAATCACCCCAAGTGCCACGTGCAGAAAACCCTTCCTGAGATGGTGACCCTACCATCTCCCTAGGCAATTTATTCCAATGCCAAACCACTCCTGTAGTGATTTTTTTTTTTTTTTTAATATCTAATCTGGATCTCCCCTGGTGCAATTAAAGGCCACTTCCTCTTGTCCCTTCATTTGAGACCTGGCAGAAGAGACTGACCTTCACCTCGCTATTAATGATTCTAGTAGAAATGGATCTCATTTACCTTTCATTTCTGAGGAAGGGAATTTTTAGCTACTTTCTAAGACACTAATTTTCTTTATTTTACTGTTTATGATTACCCACTGGGAGTTCAAGCCTTTCTGAAAGCATTGTTATGGGCTGTTTTATTGTTAATTTCATTTTTGTAAGGGGAAAGAACATATCAAACTATTCAAGCAATTGCTGAAAAATTTTAAAAATATTTAATTACTCCTATGTTGCAATTTAGGCTCATTGCCCACAGGAATGTGCCTTACATTCTTCATTGTTTTGGTGTGCCATTATCTGAAGCAAATACAGAAGCTGGAGCCAAAACAAGTCTGAATTTGAATCTGAGTAGTTTTAAAAGCTTACCTACAGACTTTCAGATGAGAAGTCTGCTGTAAAAAAGAAAATATTATTAAAACATTAAAATGTAATTATAAAAATGGTAAAATAGTGTTTTCTCCTCCCAAAAACTGGGCAGTGATCTTACTGCACCATACACATAAACATTGCAATGTGCAGCATTCAAAATTTGAGCACTGCTTAGCAAATTTAGTTTGATAAAGAAGAATCAGGATTATAGATCAGCCTACTTCACCTTGATTTATATTTTCAGATTACTTACCAGCAAGTAAACCTAAAACCAGTCATGAACTTTATACCTGCTCCTCAAACTTGACTCGAATTGTACCAAAACTGTGTGACATATGTACTGAAATATTGAGTTTTCCTAATTGGATACTACCTCATATAAACCAATCTTGATCTAAACTCAAGAAATTTTCCCAAATCTTTGATGTGAAATTATTCCTGAGGAGCTTTCTGTTAGGCCTGTGTTTGCATTATCCTTATCTGTAGCGCTTTTGTTTTTGAAGAGAGGAATCATAAGTTTGTGACATAGAAGGAAAATGTGGAACAATTTGACAGGGACACTAATCAGAGGACAATGACACAGGGACATGCCATGGTACACACTGCTATGTCTCTTAGGCATAACCTTAGTGATCTCTTCTGTTTGTTAGATGAAGTAAACACTCATTTATCTGTCTTCTATACAGAAAACTGTTATAATTAATGAGAGATGCCTTTCACAGCAAGCCAGAGGCCACTGTAGAAACAACTTTGTGATGAATGATTTCCCAGTGTTAGCTCACACAGCAACTCTGTAGTCAGTTAGAAAAACATTTCAAAAAAAGCCTAAAAAGAAGGCTCCCCAATTCAGTTTGTGAGAAAAAAACCCTCCAGTTCTTACAAAAGGGTACAAGAATTATTCTCCTGACTTTCATAGGGGCAGAATCTCAAATATTCAAAACAAATTCAAAAATGCACCATTCCTCCTGCATTTTATGTGGAGACATGACCTATCTGTAATCATATAATACACAAGATCTATTATACTGATTAGATGTAAGGGCATAGTCCTCATTCCTCTCAGCTCAAACAATGAGATTTATATGTGAGGCATGAGAGAGAGGGAATATTCATTTTCAAAAGCAAAAACTAAGCAGGGCCAAGCCAGTTTTAAAAATGCAGATCAGACTGGTGATATGTATTTGCAGTATTTCATCAAATAAGGGGAAAGGAAACATCAGTATAGATACTTGTTAACAGCAAAAAGCTCTCTCAGGATCTCATTAATGAATTGCTATTACAGTAAGTCTAGAAAAGTACATGGCACTAATGCCTGTATTAAGAGAAATTAGGTATCTTGTTCTGGGGCAGTTCTATCACAGGAGTTACCTTGACTAATAGATCAATTACCTCTTTCTGCACAAACTTCTGGAACCCGCAGGTTATGACTTCTGCTGCATTGTGCACGGTGAGGAACACTGGGATTGGCTGCCATGGGGAGAGAACAAAAATGCTCAAATCAACCCAGAGCAGTCACACACATTGGCACTCCTCCTAGAAACAGCTGTCCCACATGCCTGTGGTTTGGGGTTTTGTTTTTGAAGCTGTAAACCCATACCACATCACCTAAAAGAGACTTAGCCCATTCCAATCACTAGCTCATGGGCACAGTCATCTTTAAGCACAGACCTGCTTGCTCTGTCTCCCACTGCTGAGTGCTGTCAGTTTGTTTCTATCCAGCTACCCCAGTGAGATTTGCTCCAGGTTTTAGATTTGCTCCAGGTTTTGGCCTCTAGTTTTCCCTCTCTGATCCAGGATCTTCAGCCTCCACAGAGTAAAGAGTTTACTCCACAGAGTAAAAGCAAACAGTTCTCATCTTTTGTCCCATCTCTGTTTGCTGGTACTAAGAATACAGTGTGACTCGTAGCAACAGATTTGTGGGCAAGACAATTTTACATGATTGCTTTCAGTTACTGCTAGGAAGAGCTACCCAAAATTTGGATAGAAATGCAATAGTTCATACACAAATGATGTTGAAATTATACCCATTGAGGTATCTGGACACCATCCCAACATGAAATCATTAAGAAACAAACCCCAATGATAACAATAATGAATCAAACACCCATTGCCCCAGGCAAACCCAACCAGAATTAGTGGTTCATAATACTTCCTCCAAATCAGATCCATGGTCTCTCAGACAGATGAAACAGAAGCAGTTCTCTGCACTGATTAAGATAATCTAAAGAAAAAGCCATTTTAGGAACCAATATTTCCCTATTTGTGTATGGTATTTAAATCACAGTAGCAGAGAATGTATTAATTTCTCAGTGATGTCCAAACTTTTAAATACCAGGTGATATAAGCAGCAAATATCTCTCAAATGAGACTTTTACATATTTTCTGTAATTTTATTTTATTTACATGTTAAAGAAAATAAGCCAGATAAGCATTGCTCATTAAACATTTTAAGTCATAATGACAGCTGGGGTGGTTCCATAGCCACAACAGTTACACCAAAATAAGAATGGAAATCACACAAACACAACTGGCATGAAGTTGTTGGACCCAGCTTCAACAGTACTGAAAACCAATACCTCTGTTGCTGGATAACTCAGAACATAAACCCAGAAGTATTAAACACAAAAGTACTGTGAGCGACACAGTAATAGGAAATACAAGAAATACCCATAAACAAGGAAAGTTGACAGCAGAATTTAAATTCTTCCCTTTGTGAAAGCAAATTTTTTGGGTTTTTCTTTCCTCCCTTCTACTTTTGGCTCTTCCAAATGTGTTTTGGAGCCAACAATGGCTCCAGTTTGCCTAGCCCACTTAACCTTCTCCGTATGTCTACTGCCTTTGATGCAAGTATTTCTTAAATTTGTGAGTGGGCTTAATGCTTATGAAAAGAAAGGTTTACTGGTTGGGCAGGCAGGGTGAATACACTCTGAATAAATCTCCTGTCATGGCTCTGCATACTTTTTAAAATCATCACAATCCAGAGCTAAGCAGTCCTCCTCCAGTTCTAGTCCTGAATCCTTGGTCTGGAGAGATTGCCAGCACCTCTAGGAAGAGGCACAAACAGAGATTAAAGTTGTAGCTTTGCCAGTATAGAGGAGTGTTTGAAAGTAGGTCTCCTTGGATTTGATAATAAAAGTACACATAATTCCTGCTTTAGGAATAAACCCACTTAATTAAAATATGCTGTTGAGATGAGCCAATTCAGCTATGAGTTTGGAAGAGTCCGCTTTCATTTTCACTGTCATAAAATTGTTATAGACAAAGTTATTGTAAGTAAAGCTTCTACATTGGATTGAATTTAGCTCCACTACAAGGCAGCACATAATAATTATGGCCTAAGACTGCTTTTCATTTTGTCTTGCTTTGTAAAATGGCCACAGAATTAGATCTCTAAACCCCTATTCACGTACAACAAAAGCCATTAAGAAATGTGAGATGCACCTTAAGAAAGGTTTGGGATACAAATCAAAACCCTTCACAGCCCTTCTGCCACTCCAGTACTCATGAATGGTCAGGGCAGGAGCAGGAGGTAAATACAGTAACTGGCAGGATGACCAGGAAGTGAGAAGAAATAACAGAGAGGATGTGATTCTTAGCTCTTCCACCACCTATGTGAGCAAGCAGAAAGATCCTGCTGCCAAGGCTTCCAGACAGGGCTTTCCTTATGGGACTTTGCTTACCTTACACCAAAGAAGCCTGGTGGAACTTTCTTGGACAAGGAAGCAAGAGGAAGTAAATGCAATCACACTGAGAGAGAACTGATGTGGGAGCATGGTGCTTCTGTGCACATGCCTGTGGTTTCCCAAGATTATTTGTGTCCAAGATAAGGCCCCCAACCTTGCTTACAAGGACAGGGACCTCCTGTTCTTTTCTGCTCTCTCTACTGGGATTTTCAAGGGATCAGTACAATCAGAATCTGGTAAAAAAAAGTCCCTTTTGATCCTCCTTAAGGCTGAGGAGGTGACAGGGGCAAGCTGGCTTTGGAGTTACATTAAGATGCATTGCCAGAATGAAGAAGAGAACTAGTGCAGGATTTGAGCTTGCAGACTGAATAACAGCAGCAATATTGTTATTTTTTAAAAATTAATGCCACCAATTTATTTTACCTTTTTTTAGGGAAAACTGTATAATTTAAGCATAAAGCTTTCAAGTTTCATGGAAGGAGATTTGGCATTCTGCAAACATTTGGTAAATTACTATGATACAAATGAATCATAAAATGGAGTAATCTAGCCCATCCCATAATCTCTTTCCAACTTTCTATTTATTTTTTCAAATCCTGCAAAGAATCAAAGCCTTCTCATTGAAATGGTCATCAGTTTCCTGGAAGGATTTCTCACAGATCCCACAGCCCCATTCCTCCTTTTGCAAAGTTACAGCTACCGATTTCTTCAACTTCTTCTCTACCTGTATAATTCAGACCACTGAGGATCTGTTCAGCAAAACACTAAGTACTCTGTAGAGATGCTGAGTGCTTCAGACTGTCACGGAGATGCTTTTTGATACTTAGTAGGATTGAACCACTGCATTAGCTCCACTGACAATGGATCTATTATTTAAAGTCCTCCTCCCTCCTTCTCCTTCAACCCAGCATTAAACAACAGGTATGAAGGCAATGATCTTTGTTTACAAACTAGAGGTAATAAAGAGTAACTTCTACAGATTTGTTTCTTACCAATCTAGACAGTGCCCTGGAGCCAGCATAAATAATGCCCACAAAAAGTACTGATGCAGGAAGCCATGACAGGATTTCAGACCTGTAAAAACAATTAAAATCCCATTATTTCACTACATTCTGTTTACATACAGAAAGCAACAGTTGCTTGCAAGGAATGTAATAATATGAATTTATGTACATTAATTTCAAACATGTGATTGCTAAAGTCAGTATCAGATTGCTCAGTATTCTTCCCATTTACTAAGGAGTCAAAATTAGAAATAATTCATTTTGTCTAATCTAAGACAGGAAATAATTGCAGATATATTTTCTTTGTTTTACTCTTTCCCTGGCTCCTCTCCATCATGTTGGTTTTTTTTCTCCCTTAGAAATTACTCCCATTGGTATTAAAGGAGAAACATTTCAACTAATTTCCTTGATGTTCTGTGACAGGAATGAAACCTGACAAATGAAGGCATAAAATGGCTCTCTTGCACAGACAGCACACATTTTCACTATGTACAAATACACTGGGCCACCCACACATTCATTTCTCAGCCAGATTTACACAGAGATTCTTCCTAAAGATCAGATTGTCTCTGTGGGAGCCTATCTCTTGAGATTTCCTAATCATATTCCTTTGACTAAGCCAAAATCCTAGAGGCAGTTTGACAACTAATGGAGGAATGAAGTCATCAGATTGATCTGATTAATTTTTTTTTTAGCCATGGTTACTGTAGTAGGATCAAGTTTCAGTTCTGAGAAGGGCTTCAGAACTTGCACTTCTTCTATTTTTGATCTTGTTACTTAAGGGAAAAAAGGGATCAAGTAGGTGGTAAATTTCAGAGAGAATAATGTAAGATTTTTGGCAAGGGAAGAAAGGAGTAGCTGTGAGGTAAAGGCCTGAATCAAGGGCTTCCAGAACTGAAGACACGTCTGCCCCACTCACTCTTCCCAACCTTTGAATTAAAGTGGGGAAAATGTTAATGGGCAGCGCTGGTTCTCAAAACAAAACCAAACTGCTTGTAGTTCCTTAGTTTGCATTACACTTCCAATTAACATGTAAGACTTGAAAGGTAATTGTAGATACTGGTACACCAGCACTCTTCATGGAACACAAGAAAACAGACAACTAAACACTGAAATCAGAACAGTACGAATAAAGATAAAACACACACAAATATTCATGTAATCACAGACAAGAGAAAAACCATAAAAACCACATTTACTCTGTTACATATATAATTTTCAAAGATAACAAAAACCCAGGGTCACAAAAATAATGTTTAGCTCCTTTAACTGGCGTAAATATTTGCCCTGGGTTTTCTTGACTAGTCACCATAAATTTTTATAAAAACACAGTTCCTTTTGAGGTTATTGACTTCAACTGGAATCTCATCAAGTCCAAGATCTAATACTGTCATACCTCATTACCAATGAATTCATATCAGACACCAACAAAAATATCCCTGCACTATTGGAATAGCAACAAATTGAAGAAAGGGGGACAGAAGAAAAGAAAGTGACTCTGGGAAGATAAAAGGAACACACGATAAAAACCAAATTTTCATTTAGAACATAAAAATATCAGTCTTTCATGTTCCCCACCACTAAATTTTAGGAATCCCAAATATGTCTTCATCTCCAATGTAATTCTGCAAAGTACAATGGAAAAGGACTTCAGATGCTTTTTCCATGATGTAAGGGTAGAATTTTATGCTGCCAAGTGGGAATTTCAGGACTGAAAAAGAATGCACGGATGTTTGATGTAATGTGTCAGCATCAACCATCTGTCTTGTATGTAAACCAATTAGCAGCTTCTCCTGTTGGCAATACAGTGATGTACATGCAAAGTAGGAAGAGAACTGATGAGTTTGTGGTTGTAGGGCAAAATTCAAATCCCATGATAAGCAATGGGTAGGTTCCCCCAAACAACACTTAAAGAAAGGCCCTGAGCTGCTGCTTAGCTATGGGTGAAATGCAGCACTACAAGAAATGCCAATCATAACACATCAGAATTATGTGCCTACAACAGTTAGGCAGAAGCTGGGCAGCAGAGTGGAAGCATTATGCAGATGCCACATGTTGCTCTGCACTCCACAGAGGCCTTGTTTTAGATAAAAGCTTTGCAGACAGTCAACATTTGCTGTTTAGAAGCAATGAGGGAAAGTTCCTTACAGTATGTCCTAGGGGGAAGCAGAGGCAAAGCAGGTTATCCACAAAACCTGAGTGAGACTACTCTAAATAATATGTTTTTATTTGGTCTTTATAGTGAGGTTAGTATTCTGGACTTTAGACAAAGGGCAATGATCTCTATGTTATAACTTCATTCTGCTGAGACACTTTGGTATAACCTGAACTGGCTCACAAAGTATATGAGATCAGTCCATTTGACAGAGAAATCAAGACTTTGTGGACATAAACAAACAAATGGATACAGTTTATTATTTGAAGCACAGCAAGACTGAAGACTGGCTATGGTATTCCTAAGTAGAATACACATAGACAAAACCCTCCCCTCTAACCAATAGATTCAGAGACAGATATTTTGTAAGGGGGGATGGAAATATCCATATCTCAGCAGTAGCATTAAAATCACCTTTGCACATTTTATATGTTCATTTGTTTGTTTGCTGGTGAGTTGTTTGATTGGTAGTGCTTTGGAGGTTTAGAAGGTTTCCATGATGGGGTTTTCAGGCTGTGTTTTTGTTTTGGCTTTGATTGTTTTGTTTGTTTTTTTTTATAATACAGGAGATGAATGTTACAAATCCACCTCTGCAAAGCAATAAGGCATGTGCCTAATCTTTGTGAAGAAAGGCAGGTTTAAACTCATGCTTAAATAGCTGGATGAATTATAGCCAAAGCATGTAAATTAATTCTGCTTGTTCCATTCAGTCTATTCTAGAACAGGTATTCTGTATTAACCAAGCTAACGAAGAGGTCTGTCAAGAGGGATTTCAACATTTTTCCCTACAGTGTGCTGACATCTAGTGGCCTCAAATCTCCATGGTCAAAATATGAACTAATTTTTCATCCAAGCCTTTCTTAGATAAAAACAACCTCTTCAACATCAGCGACTGGTTCTTGTCCTCTATTTTCTTTAATGTCTTCCCAGGTTTTGAAAAGATGAAAGTATCTTTTCCAAGCTGGGAAAAAAAAGATTCAGCTTCTTCAATTTCATTATTTGAAGCAGAAGTAATTCTTAGTGTACACAAGCTGAACTATAAAAGGATATTACTGATGGTTGTATTCTTCTAGACTGTTTTGTAATGACAAAATATGCATAAACAATACAAATTTGATTTTATATATCTATATCTATATCTATATCTATATCTATATCTATCTATATCATCTATATCTATATCTATATCAGTAACTGCCAGCAAAGCAAGGTTTAGACCCTGATCCTGTCTCTGCCAAAGTCAATGACAGCTTTTACAATACCCTCAGTTTATTGCAGCTATAAAATAGGAAACTGAATTCTGTTTTCATTTGCGACCTCAGTTATATTTCCATGGTGACGTAATCATTTGTATGGACATGAAAACAGAACACAGCCTAGTTTTTTTGTCATACAGGATTTCATTCCAAGTGAGGAAATTCAATTTTTCAAGCCAACTGTTTGAATCTCAAACAGAAAGTTCATCAGTTGCCATGTGCTAATACAGAATCACTGAGAAAAAGTTACATTAGAAGGGGTCTGGCAGTCATTTAGTCAAAACTCTCTCAGTCGCAGAGTCAAGTCATATTACTCAGGTCATCGCCCAGGAAGGTTTTTAGTATCTCCTGAGATGAGGATCCAATGATTGTTATGGGCATACATCTTCTACATGATACCATTTTGCACAATGAAAAAGATGAAGCATTACATATTGCAGAATGGATCCACCTGAGCAGAGTACAGCATGACAACTCTTCTGAATTCTGCTCTTACACTCAGCTCAAGCAGATGATCTTTGTCTACAAAGCACCATTTAATTTGGAGTTTTATTGTTAACATCAGTTAGGAAAAGGTGAATGATCCAAATTTATGCAACACAGCTCTCAGAAAAAGGCAAATCACATCTGCAGACTTCATAGCCCTGAGGGTTTTGAGGAAGATTGTGTCAATGCTCTTAACTAACATTACCAAGCTTTTCCTTACAATACTAAGAAACAATGCAGGGAAGAGTTATGGACAAATGTTTGGATAAGACATCCTTATTGTTTTCACTATGGGCTTTTTGGTTGTCTTATCAAGGTTAAATTGAATTCACTTTATATAAGTAGTCAGTTTAAGTGTGTCATTGAACACCCATTTAACTAAAATGTGAGTTCTCTTCTACATCTCTGACGCAGAACATACACACCCCCATACACATCAAACTCTACTTTAGCCAGTTAATAGCATTCATGACCAACTTAAATATGTTGTAATCCAGCTGCAGCAGATAAGTGTTTGGCAGATACCAAAAACCCCACAGTACCTTGAACACAAGTTTATCTCCACCCAGCCCAGCTTCCAGGAGATGTGAAGCAGAAGTCCACCCACCAATGTTTGCCACCTGAAATAGAATGACACAAGGAAATAATATGTGAGGCCTAGGGAGTATGTGCAGATAACACAATAAGTAGCAAGGAATGCACACTGACTTCATTTACACTTTAAAATAAGTTATCATCTTTCTTCTTCCTTAAACTAGTGGTTTTCAGAGAGGTGTTCCATGTTTCTTGGGTGAAAATCCTTGAATATCTAGCACAGTTCAATCAGAGATATTGTATTATAATGTTAAATGATATTAACATCCATAACAGGTATATAACTGAGTTTGTTTATTACTCCCATTCATTGCAATGCATTTAAGAATTATTTAAAATCTTTCTCACACACACACAAATAAACAAATATTCACTCTATGCAGTACTAATGCATAGTGGTAAATATTCAATGCTACTATCACAGCTCACTTCACTGTTTTTTGGATGAAAAGCATGTGAGAGCTTAAAAGCTAGGTTTCCCTGACATTTGCAGCAGGTTTGACTATGCTCTATCCAAGCCAGTGGCGAAATCTCATCCAATTTCATTGTAAAAAATTTCCTCTTGTAAGGACAGAAGTTTGTGACAGTTTCAGATGCTGAGGACTATGCAGTATGGTCTTAGATTTTACAAGGAACAAAACCAAGGACAATGAACAGTAACAGCATGAACTGAGAATTACATTCTTTTCCTCTTCTCTCATCTGTCACAGGTCTAAATGAAAGTGTACCTGAGAACCTAAAAAAAATTCAAGGAAAGGTCACTTTTAAAAGACAGAACTTATGGAAAAAAATATTAAGATGCTGAAATGCATTGCCAGATAATAGGAAAAGGAAATAACTATGGTAACACAGATGCAATAAGGCAGTTGCTTGTCATTGAAATACACTTTTCTGTTGATTTACCATGTCTATTTTACACAAATTACTCAAAACCCTTTCCCCATATGATAAAAGCCTTGTGCAAGAGACAGTCCCTCTGTGTGTGCCAAAACTGAAGAAAGCATTCACTGCATATCTAATCAAGCTGAATACATTCAAAGTAAGTGGAGATTCCCAAGGCAATTATTCCTAGGGTTGATTGTAGTACTGGAACTGCAAGTCAGGAAAAAATGTAAGCCATGCTAAGCAGCAGAAAAGGAAGTAAAGCTATCCAGTGTCTGCAAGTTTTAATACCGTCTCAAAAATGGGGTAGACTTGGCTCTAAGAGGCCAGATTTTCACTAAATGTCTCATCAACAGCATTGATGGAATATCTGGACATTTATCAAAACATTAAATTTCTCATTACAGTCATTAAGATATGGTAGTGACTCGTGATGCAGACTTACAACCAAGGCTAAGCATGAAAAGAAGGAACATAGTATTTGTGAATGCCTAAAGATGGGTTTAAGGTTGGTTTTCTCTAGCACAGCAAAAGAATGCATCATAAATACACATTTTCCTCTCTTCCAAAGAAAAGAAGTTGTACTGTAAGTGCTACTTTTCTATGCTGAAGCTTAGGATTTTAAGGAAAATGATAAATTATGGACTCCATATATCTCAATTACATCATCTCCATGATGTTTAAAAATTAGCCAAGACACATTAATGAATATTGAATTTATTAAGGCTTCATGAAACATGTTCTCTAGACAGCAAAAGCCAGTAAGGACAAGAAGTAGTAAAGTTAGTTTCAGCAAGAAACAGCAAGATGTTAAAGTCATTTTTCAAACACAATTCTTAAAACCATACTTACCCTTGAAAAAGGGTAGGGTAGGTAAACTGCAGGACAGACAGAACATACTGGAAAACAAACAGTAAATTAATGGATGTCAAACACCTACAGTTCATAATATTAACAAACAATCACAAGCAACAAAACATTGGGCTGCTCTATGATCTCTGAAATGCTTGACAGGCCTCAATCTTGATGAACAGCATCTGGGCTAAGTTCCACTTGAGCTCATCAGAAAAACTGTTGGCTCTCAGGAACTTAATGCTGTCCAGGGAGCTCCTGCTTTTTAACAAACAGCCTTGGAGATTAATTTTTCTTGCCTCTATAAGAACCCAAGTGGAACAACATTTTTGTTATTGAACTTTCAAAGAAAGTTACCAACCTGCATTGAGGCCAGGAAGAAAAATCACTTTGTCTAAACCAAACTCTTTTGTGACCCTATAAACAGCAGTCTTGAGTGAGACCCTTTAAGCTCTTCTGGAGCAGAATGCAACCAGCAACCTCTCTCTGAGTGGGACACTTAGAAGATCTCTGAAGGACGATGATAGATCCTGGGCTGATACCATCCACTCCTCAAGACTCAATGTTTTTCTCATGAAGAAGATGTAACAATATCCAAATTGAGTACTTCACTGAATTTGAGGGGAATTTTTCCTGGGTATACCTTGTACAAGTCCCTTTAGGTCTGAGTGTGTGTGAATGTGGATATGCCATAGCAAATTCATTATGAATATTGCTCTCTTTGATTCTTCAGCGCATTAGGTTTATAAGTAAGATAGTGAGTCACTGTCATGCCTATATTAAGTTATGTATGAATCTTTTGTTAAATTGTTTAAATTAAGCTTTTGATTAAGAGCGGCTATGTTTAATTGCTGTTATAACCTTTAGACTAAACCATTCATCAAATCTGGGGTTAAACTTGGCAAGTGGGTCCACTATGAATGCTGTGACTCAGTGTGTCTTATTCCCTTTCCTGTTCTTACTTCCATGCAGATAAATTTTGGTTGATTGATTTTTAGATTGATTGATTTTAGTTTTATTTTTAGTCTGCTTTAACCATCTAATAATGATGTCATAGATGTAATGGTGTAGTAATGCAATAATGACATAACGATGTAATAATGTAGTATTGATGGCAGTAGAGTGAACATCACCAACAAACTTTATTATGATTTCACTTTAATATTAGATCTGCTTTTGCCCATCCCTTTTCTGGTGATTCTCCGAGTGACTTAAACCACTCACTTGTGGCACTTCCCATGCCAGAACTGCTGGATACTGCCTCAGCCACGGTGGAAAGTAACAAGCACTAAAGTACATGAGGCATGGAGTGGACACACTGAACAATGGAAAAGGCTGTCATCTGAATTGCACTTTCATTTTCTGAACACAGTCCATACTTCACACTGAATGGAAAAGGATTGACAGGAACAAAATGCCATAAGCACCAGTCAATTAAAATAATACCATACCAATGAAGCAAATCTTTGGCAGAACCAAGAGCAATAGTCTAAACATAATTGTCTTCTTATGGCTAATGTATCTTACAGACTTAACATTCTGCTTACACACTGTTTTGTGTAGAATTTTAAGCAGTCCATAAAGCCCATCAGAGATGTAATACATGCAGGTAAAAAGCAAAATCTGTGTCATTGCTTTAGCCTCCTTTGTCTGGGCCTGTACGTATGGGTGTCAATGTCTCTTCACACTAAATATGTATATATGCAAATGTGAGGCACAAATACATGCTTTCCAGGTCTAACAACTTCCCATGATGAAGTATATAAATATCACTTCTGCAAAGGAGAAGAATGATTGAAGCTTCCTCAGAGAAAATGAAAGGTACCTGCTGTTCCTTCCAGGAGCCAGCAGAAGCTGTCAAGGGCAAAAGGAGAAGCTGAGAAGTTTGCTCTTTCAGCAAAGAGCAAACTCTGCTGAACACCTTGCAAGGTCCAGTTTTTAGGTTTGTGGGGTGTCACTAAAAAGCTGGCGTCAGTATAGAGAGACAAAGCATGTTGATTCACAACAGGTCTTTTTACACATACACCTGTCAGAACTGCCATGTGCATTTTAAATCAGGATGATCTACTCACACATGTCTGTACTCCTGCTTGCATTTGCACGCCACCTTCAACAACTGAAAGGTCTATATTCTGGTTATTTTTAACTTTATTACACTAAAAACTACATGAAGGTAAAATGGAGGCCTTATGTCAATGTCCCCATGACCTCCTCTCAAGCATAGTTAAGCCATGATGCAACCTGGCAGCTCTTTTAGCCCCCTTCCATTAAACTAATCACAGCTACCAGCAGTCTGTCAAATCAAGTGCATTATTTCTCCCTACAACTTTGCTTCATGTCTGGACTTCAGTCTTCTTCTGAGCATCCTTAATGGCAAGTCTATCCTGAAACAGAAACCACTAGCCAATGCCTAGAAAAGATTTCATTTTCACCTCTGAAATGCTGATTTTCTCTAATCCTCCCTCAGAATATTTATACCCTGATTGCTTCACCAATATTTTTTTTCTTTCAGAAATCTGCACCAGAAATACAGACACACACTCTGACAAATAGGATAGCACAGAGCAGTTAATCTATCTACTCCTCCTAGAGTGAAAAAAATACTTTCAAGCTTATGCTTAAATTATACAATTTTATTCACAATGTGGCCATCTTCAGCCTACTTCTTACGCTTAGACACTTCAGCAACACTAATATGAAATTGTTACACAGTGGAAAAAAAAAATTCTTGTCCTTAATTTGTCGGTTAATTAAGTTGTCAATGGAAGTTAATATTTGTTTAACTTCTGAAACAATACTTTGAATATTTCACACTTGGAAAGTTGATATCACTGTTCCAGTTAACAGTTAACTGCATTCTTTTGGGAATGAATGCAGCTGCCAGACACCCGATAATGAAATATATACAGCATCAGCGATACTTTCAGTGCAGCAGAACTTCTGGCTCTATAACACTTCATTCATTGGAATGATGTGATGCCAACCTCCTCGCTCTCCTAAACAAGACTGTAATGGGACTTATCTGACGTGGAAGGGTAAAGCTGTCACACACTGAGCAAAACGAAACCGGCACCCTATCCACAGTTTCGGAAGCACACTGGGATGGGCGGCGGGCTGGAGTGCCACGGACTTTTTCACTCGCGGGGCAGTCTCGTCCGGGAGGGGCTGGTCCTGCGGCTGTCCCTGAGCAGGGCAGGGAGAGCTCAGGGCACCGTCTCTCCTCCTTCTCCTGGATCCCTGCACTTCCCTCGCGCCCCGCTCCCGCAGCCGCGGACCGGCAGCCAGCGCCCCCGCACCTCCCTGCGTCCCGCCCGGCCCGCCCGAGACCGGGGCGGCCCCGCGCCCGCGCTCACCTTGTTGGTGAAGCTGGAGGCCAGGTAGAAGAGGCAGAAGGCGAGGCCGCCCGCCGGCCTCTTCAAATACATCCGTCAGCGCGGGCGCGGAGCGCGGCGGGCGGGGGCGGCCATCGGCCGGGCCGCGGACACGTCGCTCCGCGGGCGCCGCCCCCGCGGGGCCGCTGCTGCCGCCCGGCGGCCGCGCCGCGCCCCGCCGGCCGGAGCGGCCGGAGCGGCCGGAGCGCCGCAGCCCGGGCACCGCGCGGCCCCGGCGGCAGCGGCCAAACGCGGCCGGCCGGGCAGGGAGGACATTGTCCCCTCTCCTCTGCCCTTGTGAGACGCCCCTGGAGTGCTGCGTCCAGCTCCGAGGCACTCGGCACGGGGAAGACCTGTAGAAGCAAGTGCAGAGGAGGGACG